GGAGTTCAGCGGCCTCTCGTTCCTGGTGCGCGTGTACGGCGACCTGGCGCCGCGCGAGCTCGACGCCGCCTGCGCCTTCCTGCACGGCCGCGTGGCCGCCCGCGAGGCGGCCGCCCTGCGCCAGCTGCGCGCCTGCTTCCGCGCCTTCCAGAGGTACCAGCGCTGCGGTTGTTCCCGTCACCCGCACTGACCCGGTACCGGCGCTGCGGTTGGTCCCGTCACCCGCGCTGACCCGGGCACCGGTGCCACCGCGGTTCCCGTCACCCGCGCTGACCCGGTACCGGTGCCGCGGTGGTTCCCGTCACCCGCGCTGACCCGGTACCGGCGCCGCGGCGGTTCCCGTCACCCACACTGACGCGGGCACCGGCGCCGCGGCGGTTCCCGTCACCCGCGCTGACCCGGTACAGGCACCACGGTTGTTCCTGTCACCCGCGTTGACCCGGGTACCGGCGCCGCGGTGGTTCCCGTCACCCGCGCTGACCCGGTACCGGCGCCGCGGTTGTTCCCGTCACCCGCACTGACCCGGTACCGGCGCTGCGGTTGGTCCCGTCACCCGCGCTGACCCGGTACCGGCGCCGCGGCTGTTCCCGTCACCCGCGCTGACCCGGGCACCGGTGCCACTGCGGTTCCCGTCACCCGCGCTGACTCGGGCACCGGCGCCGCGGTTGTTCCCGTCACCCGCGCTGACCCGGTACCGGTGCCACGGTTGTTCCCGTCACCCGCGCTGACCCGGTACCGGCGCCGCGGCTGTTCCCGTCACCCGCGCTGACCCGGGCACCGGTGCCACCGCGGTTCCCGTCACCCGTGCTGACCCGGGTACCGGCGCCGCGGTTGTTCCCGTCACCCGCGCTGACCCGGTACCGGCGCCGCGGCTGTTCCCGTCACCTGCGCTGACCCAGTACCGGCGCCGCGGCTGTTCCCGTCACCTGCGCTGACCCGGGTACCGGCGCCACAGCTGTTCCCGTCACCCGCGCTGACCTGATACCGGCGCCGCGGCGGTTCCCGTCACCCGCGCTGACCCGGTACCGGTGCCACGGCGGTTCCTGGCACCTGCGCTGACCCGGTACCGGTGCCACGGCGGTTCCCGGCACCCCTGCCAATCCTGGTACCGGCACCACGGTGGTTCCCGTCACCCACACTGACCCCAGTACCGGCACCGCAGTTGTTCCCATCACCCGCGCTGACCCGGTACCGACGCCGCGGTTGTTCCTGTCACCCGCGCTGACGCGGGTACCGGTGCCACAGTGGTTCCCGTCACCCGCGCTGACCCGGGTACCGGCGCCACGGTGGTTCCCGTCACCCCCGCTGGTACTAGCACCGCGGTGGTTCCCATCACCCCCACCAATCCCGGGATTGGCGCCGCGGCGGTTCCTGTCACCCACGCTGACCCCGGTACCAGCGCCATGGTGGTTCCCGTCACCCCCACCGATCCCAGTACCAGTTCCCGTCACTCACGCTGACCCCGGTACCAGCGCCATGGTGGTTCCCATCACCACTGCCGATCCCGGTACCGGTTCCCGTCACTCGCTCTGACCCCAGTACCGGTTGTTCCCGTCACCCATGCTGACCCGGGTATCGGCGCCGCGGCGGTTCCCATCACCCGTGCCCACCCCACTACTGGTTTCTGTCACCCGCGCTGACCCCAGTACTGGTGCCGTGGTTGTTCCCATCATCCGTGCTGACCCCAGTACCGGCACTGCGGTTATTCCCGTCACCTGCACTGACCCCGGTACTGGTTTCTGTCACCCGTGCTGACCCTGGTACTGGTGCCGTGGTTGTTCCTGTCACCCACACTGACCCTGGTCCCAGCGCCGCGGCGGTTTCCATCACCCGTGCTGACTCCGGTACCGGTGCTGTGGTTGTTCCCATCACCCGTGCTGACCCCGCTACCAGCACACGGTTGTTCCTGTCACCTGCGCTGACACCGGTACCGGCACTGTGGTTGTTCCCATCCTCCACACTGACCCCGATACCGGCATGCGGTTGTTCCCATCACCCGCGCTGACCCTGGTACTGGTTCCCGTCAACCGCGCTGTCCCCGGTACTGGTGCCATGGTTGTTCCCGTCCCCCGCGCTGACCCTGGTACTGGCGCTGTGGTTGTTCCTGTCACCCACGCTGACCCCAATACCGGCACGCGGTTGCTCCCGTCCCCCGCGCCCGCCCCGCTACCCGCCCCGCGGTTGTTCCCGTCACCCGCACTGACCCCGCTACCCGCCCCGCGGTTGTTCCCGTCACCCGCACTGACCCCCACACCCACACACAGCGTGGCCACCGAGACCTGCGCCCCGCAGCCCGCGTGCGACCAGCGCAGCGCCCGGCTCCGCGCTCTGCTCCGCGACTACTTCGAGGAGGAGCCCGCGGCGCCGGAACCGGAGCACAACGCCGAGGAGCGGGCGCTGGAGGACGCCAAGGTGGGCGCCTGTAGGAACCCCGTCCCTCGTGCTGACACCCTGCCCGCCCCGGTTCCCGGTGTTGGGAAGCAACAGCCGGTGCCTCCGCAGCTCCGTGCCTGGGAGAGCCAGATCCGCGCCGACATCCGCCACTTCCTGGCCATCCGCCCCGAGGAGCGCTTCACGGGCCGCGCCGTGGCCCGCGTCTTCCACGGCATCGGTGAGCGGGAATGCCGGGAACACCGGGAACACCGGGAATGCCAGCGCGCGGCCCCGTCACCCCCGTGCCGCCCTCCTCCCGCAGGCAGCCCCTGCTTCCCGGCGCAGGTGTTCGGCCGCGACCGCCGCTTCTGGCGCAGACACCTCGCCGTGGCCTTCCCGGCGCTGGTGCGCCTGGCGACCGACGAGATCCTCAACAGCCGCTGAGGCCGCCTGTTGCGCCGCCTGTTACCCCCAAATAAAGGACACTGGGACTCGCTGCCTGCGCCTTTCTGCCCCCACGTAGGGGGGTTGCGGCCCCCTCCCTGCCCCATAAGTGTGGGGTGGAGGACCGTGGGGCTGGTGGCTACAGCCCTTCTGCCCCAGCACCTCCACGCGACCATAGAGACGACAGGAGCTTGGGCCCGACTCTCCTCCCGCCTCCACGTGACCGCCCCGCTCGGCCAATGGGGAGGGGCGCGGGGGGCGTGGCCGCTCCAGCCCGCCCCTCTCTATGGCCGCGGAGGCCCTGCGCGCGCTGCTGGGGTCGCCATGGTAACGGGGGGGCGGAGCTGGGAGGGCGGGTCCTGTCGCTGTGGCGATGCGCGCGGGGGGGGGAGGCGTTGCCATGGCAATGGGGCGGGGTCTGTGGCCATGGCCACGCGGGGAGGCGGTGGTGAGCACAGGCGGGAGGCGTTGCCATGGCAATGGAGGGCGGCCTGTTGCCAGGGCCGGGCGGGGCCTGGCGTAGTGAGGCGGGGCGGGCTGTTGCCAGGGTTACGTAGGGTGTAACTCCCATTGTAGTCTGTTGAAGGAGTGTTGCCGTGTCCGGGGGGGGGGCTGTTGCCATGGTGATGGCGTCAGGCACTGTGGCCATGGGGGGGGTTGTTCCCATGGTGATGCCAACGAGGAGAGGGGTTGTTGCTCTGCTGGGGTGGAGGGGTCGGTCGCTGTGGCGATGGGGGTGCAACAGTCGGCCATGCTTCCACATGCGCCACGCGTGGGGCTGTAGGCACCATGCAACGAGCTGCATGCAGCCAGCGCTGCACGTGCAACGAGAGGCGGACACGGGGACACCGTGGATGGAGGGACACGGAGGAACACGGGGACACCATGGATGGAGATGCGTGGAAGGACATGGGGACAGTGTGGATGGAGATGCATGGAGTGACACAGGGAGAACACGGATGGAAATGTGTGGAGGGTCATGGGGACACCATGAATGGAGACACATGGAGGGACATGAGGACGCCATGGATGGAGGGTCATGGGGACACCATGGATGGAGGGATATGGGGACACCATGGATGGAGACGCATGGAGGGTCATGGGGACACCATGGATGGAGGGACATGGAGGGACATGGGGACATCATGGATGGAGGGATATGGGGACACCATGGTTGGAGACACATGGAGGGACAGGGAGACAGTGTGGATGGAGATGCATGGAGTGACACAGGGACACCATGGTTGGAGACACATGAAGTGTTATGGGGACACCATGGATGGAGGAACATGGAGGGACACAAGGACGCCATGGATGGAGACACGTGGAGGGACACGAGGACACCATGGATGGAGGGATATGGGGACACCATGGATGGAGGGACACGAGGATGCCATGGATGGAGGGACACAAGGACACCATGGATGGAGACACATGGAGGGACATGGGGACGCCATGGATGGAGGGACACGAGGACACCATGGATGGAGGAACATGGAGGGACACAAGGACGCCATGGATGGAGACACATGGACAGACACGAGGACACCATGGATGGAGGGATATGGGGACACCATGGATGGAGGGACACGAGGACACCATGGATGGAGGGATATGGGGACACCATGGATGGAGGGACACGAGGACACCATGGATGGAGACACATGGAGGGACACAAGGACGCCATGGATGGAGACACATGGAGGGACACGAGGACACCATGGATGGAGGGATATGGGGACACCATGGATGGAGACACATGGACAGACACGAGGACGCCATGGATGGAGGGACACGAGGACACCATGGATGGAGACACATGGACAGACACGAGGACACCATGGATGGAGGGATATGGGGACACCATGGATGGAGATGCATGGAGGGTCAGGGGGACACCATGGATGGAGGGACACGAGGACACCGTGGATGGAGACACATGGAGGGACACGAGGACACCATGGATGGAGGGACACGAGGACACCGTGGATGGAGACACATCGCGAGCGAGGGAGGGCCCAGCCCCACTGACGCACGGCCCCACACGGCTCCACCACCCTTTATTCGGGGGGCGCCGGGGAGGTGGGGACCAGCCCCGGGACACGGGGCCCCCCCGGGGGACCGGAGCTCCTGGCCACGTGCCACGCGGGCGCCGCGGGGGCCGCGGGCACCCCGGGGCGGCGTCAGGAGAACTCCCGGGTGAACTTGGCGTGGAACTGGCTGAGCTTGTGCAGCAGCTCGCGGAGCTTCTCGGCGGGCGGCAGGATGGTCATCCTGGGGCACGGCGGGCACGGGGGGCGCTGGCACCGGCGCGGGACCCCCGGCGGGCCCGCCTGCCCCCCGGCACCCGCCGTGGCCGCGGGGCCCCACAGGCAGCACCCGGCACCCTCCTCCATGCGCCCAGCGCCGTGCGGGTCCCTCCGTGCACCCATGGGTGTCCTCACACGTGCCCAGCCCCATGGGTGTCCTCACACGCGCCCAGCCCCATGGGTGTCCTCACATGCACCCAGCCCCATGGGTGTCCTCACACGCGCCCAGCCCCACACATGTTCCTGCAAGCACCCAGTCCCCTACATGTCCCTACAAGCACCCAGCCCCACATATGACCCTATGTGCACCCAGACCCACACGTGTCCCTCCATGCACCCAGCCCCACATATGTCAATCCAAGCACCCATCCCCATGCATGACCCTCCATGCACCCAACCCCACATGTCCCTCTGTGTATCCAGCCCCACAAGTGACCCTCCATGCACCCAGCCCCACACATGACTCTACAAGCACCTAGCCCCACACAACCCTACATGCACCCAGCCCCACGCATGTTCCTCCATGCACCCATCCCCACACAACCCTCCATGCACCCAGCCCCATGGATGTCCTCACATGCACCCAGCCCCACACATGTCCCTCCATGCACCCAGCCCCACATATGTCAATCCAAGCACCCATCCCCATGCATGACCCTACAAGCACCCAACTCCACACATGTTCCTCCATGCACCCATCCCCACACAACCCTCCATGCACCCAACTCCACACATGTCCCTCCATGCACCCAGACCCACACATGTTCCTCCATGCACCCAGCCCCACACAACCCTACATGCACCCAGCCCCATGGATGTCCTCACATGCACCCAGCCCCACACATGTCCCTCCATGCACCCATCCCCACACAACCCTCCATGCACCCAACTCCACACATGTTCCTCCATGAACCCATCCCCACACAACCCTCCATGCACCCAGCCCCACAAGTCCCTCCACGCACCCACCCCTCACCCCTTCACCCGGGCACCCACCGGAAGTGGTAGGTGCCCTCGCGCTGCCCGAAGCCGCTGCCGGGCACCACGCAGATGCCCGTCTCCTCCAGCAGCTTCATGCAGAAGAAGGCGTCCGGCGCCTGGCCCAGCGCCTGCGCCGTGGGGCACCCCACGTCAAGCGCCGTTGACCGCGTCAACCGCGCGCCCGGCGCGGGGTCCCGCGGCTACCTTGGCCTCCTGGACGGCGCGGGGCGGCAGCTCGATGCGCGGGAAGGAGTACATGGCGCCCTGCACAGGGTTGCAGTGGATGCCGGGCGCCTGGTTGAAGATCTCCTGGGTGATGCGGGCCTTGTGTGCCAGGGCGCTCAGCACCTCCTGCTTCTCCTGCGGGTGGAGGTGGGTGCTGGGGTGGTGCGCGGGGCGCCTCCCGGCCACGCTTGTGGTCCATGGTACTGCCCATGGCAGTCTTGGCACACATCCGTCTCCATTCCCATGACCATCCCCATCCCTGTGAGCATCCCCAAGTCCTTTCTCATGACCATGCCCATCACCATGACCATGATCATGCACAAGTCCTGTCCCATGGCCATGCCCATCATCATGACCATGCCCATCACTATGACCATGCCCATGCCCATGATCATGCCCAAGTGCTTTTCCATGGCTATGCCCATCACCATGACCATGGCCATGCCCATCACCATGACCTTTATCATGCCCATCGCCATGACCATGCCCATCACCTCACCATGACCACGATCACGTCCAAGTCCTGTCCCATGGCCATGCCCATCATCATGACCATGACCATGCCCATCACTATGACCATGACCTTGCTCATCCCCTTCACCATGATCATGTCTATCACCGTGACCTTTATCATGCCCGTCACCATCACCATGCCCATCACCTCACCATGACCACGATCATGCCCAAGTCCTTTCCAATGGCCATGCCCATCACCTTAACCATGCCCAAGTCCTTTTCCATGGCTATGCCCATCACCATGACCATGATCATGTCTGTCACCTTGACCATGATCACCTCCTTCACCATGACCATGCTCATCCCCATTGCCTTGCCTGGGCCCCACCCTGTGGCCATGACCATGCCCATCACCATGACCTTGATCATGCCCAAGTCCTGTTCCATGGTTATGCCTGGGCCCCTCCCCATGGCCATGCCCATCATCATGACCATGCCCCTGATCATGCCCAAGTCCTGTCCCATGGCCATGTCCAGGCCCCTCCACATGGCCATGCCCATCACCATGACCATGATCATCTCCATCACCAGGACCATGCTCATCCCCACAGCCATGCCCATCACCATGACCATTATCATGCCCATCACCATGATCATGTCTATCACCTTGACCATGACCATCTCCATCACCATGACCATACTCATCCCAATGGCCACGCCCATCCCTATGGCCACGCCCAGGCCCATCCATAGGCATCTACATGCCTATGTCCATCTTCAGTCCCATGTCCATCCTCATCCCAGCGTCCAGTCCCGTGCCCATCCCTAAGACGATGACCATGCTCATCCACATGTCTATACCCATCCCCATGATTATGCCCAGGTCCATCCTCATGCCCATCACCACGACCATGCTCATCCACATGTCTATGCCCATGTCCCTCACCATATCGATGCCCAGTCCCATCCCCATCATCAGACTTATCTCCATGCCCATTCTCATCCCAGTCTTCATGCCCATCCCCATCCCAGGCTCTGCACCCCTGGCCATGTCCATCCCAGTCTCCATGACCATGTCCATTCCCATCCCAGTCTCCGTGCCCATGTCCATCCCCATGTCCATCCCAGTCTCCGTGTCCATGTCCATCCCCATGCCCATTCTCATCCAAGTCGCCACACCCCTGTCCATCTCCATCCCCATCCCCATGTCCATCCCAGTCTCCGTGTCCATCCCACGTCCATGTCCCCATCCCGTACTCACGGCCATGAAGCGCTCATAGGAGGGCTCTCCGGGCTCCGGCGGGGCCACCATGGCATCCAGGATGATCTGCCCGGGCACGGGCGGGCACAGACGCACGGAGACCATCTTGATGAGCTGCTCCCGCACCTCGGGGTCCATGTTGACCACCTCCACGAAGCCGCTGCGGAAGCCGCACCTGGCCGCACACGGCCCGTGGTGGCACCATCGCACACGGTGCCACCCCGGGCACTTCGTGGGGTGCCACAAAGCCAGGGATGGGGACCCAAGGATGGAGATGAGGGTTCAAGGGTGGTGACCTGCCTCCCATGGAGGGGACCCACAAATGGAGAGCCAAAGATGAGGACCTCCCAAACAGGGATGAAGTCTCCACAGATAGAGATTGATGGGAATGGATGGGACCCCATGGGTGGGGACCCACTGCAGGGACCCACAGGGCCACCTCCGTCCCCATCCCAGCACCCATGGGGCTGTGACACCACCATCCCCATCCCAGCACCTATGGGGCTAGGGCAACCCCGTCCCCATTCCAGCACCCATTGGGTCACGCAGCCACCATCCTACCCACTGGAACCATGGGGCCAGGTCACCACCAACCCCACCTGAGCACCCATGGGGCAGTGGCACCACCATCCCCACCCCAGCACCTATGGGGTCCAGGGCACTATCATCCCCATCCCAGCACCCATGGGGGCTGATGTATCACCATCCCCATCCCAACACCTATGGGGTCCAGGGAACCACCAACCCCACCTCAGCACCCATTGGGTCACACAACCACCATCCTACCCTTGGAACCATGGGGCCAGGGCACCACCATCCCCACCCCAGCACCTATGGGGTCCAGGGCGTCACCAACCCCACCCCAGCACCTATGGGCTCCGGGGGACCACCGTTCCCCCTCCAGCACCCATGGGACCCCCAACTCCAGCAGAGCACCCGAGGTGCCTTGGCACCTCCACCCCAACCCATGGTCCCCAACCCAGCGCTATGGGGCATCGCGTGGGGCACTCACTCGCCCATGAAGCCCTTGGAGACGGAGTGGAAGGAGGCCAGCTCCACCACGTCCTTGTAGGGCGACCCCAGCTCGAAGAGCACCTTCTTGAAGGAGTGGAAGGCCGAGCCCTCAGCGTAGACGTTGTCCTGGTACACCTGGTCGGTGGGGAGGGATGGGCGGCTCAGCCCGGACGCCGGGGCCCCGCGGGCGGGCAATGCCGTTGATGGGGCCACCCCGCTCACCTCATCGGCCATGAGGAAGAGCTGCTCCTCGTAGGCCAACTTGATGATGTCCTCAATGCACTGGCGGCTCTGTACCTGCCCTGGGGACACGGTGGGCATGGGGACCATGTGGGCGTAGGGACAGGGTGGGCATGGGGATGAGGTGGGCATGGGGACAGGTTGAGCATGGGGATGAGGTGGGCATAGGGACAGTGACGGCATGGGGACAGTGTGGGTGTGGGGACAGTGTGGGTGTGGGGACAAGGTGGGGCAGGCGGATAAGGAGGGCATAGGGAACGGGTGGGCATGGGGACAGGGTGGGCGTGGGGACAGGGTGGGCATGAGGACAAGTTAGGCATGGGGACAAGTTGGGCATGGGGACAGAGTGGGCATAGGGGCAGTGTGGGTGTGGGGACAGGTTGGGCATGAGGATGAGGTGGGCATAGGGACAGTGACAACGTGGGGACATGGTGGGCATGGGGATGAGTTGGGCATGGGGACAGGGTGGGCATGGGGACATGGTGGGGCATGCGGATAAGGAGGGCATAGGGAATGGGTGGGCACGGGGATGAGGTGAGCATGGAGGCAGTGACACCATGGGGACCAGGTGGGCATGTGGACAGTGACACCATGGGGACACGGTGGACATGGGGACCAGGTGGGCATGGGGATGAGGTGGGCATGGAGGCAGTGACACCATGGGGACCAGGTGGGCATGGGGATGAGGTGGGCATAGGGACCAGGTGGGCATGGGGACAGTGACACCATGGGGACCCCGTTGCTGCGGGGGCGTCCCCGGGTGCCCCGTGGTACCCGTGGGGTTGCCCGGGTTGATGATGCAGAGGACGCGGGGGGCGCAGTGGCGGCGGGCGGCGGCGAGCGCGCGCCGCAGCTCGCCCGGCTCCAGCGCCCAGCAGCGCTCCTCGTCCAGGTAGTAGGCGACGGGCACAGCGTCGAGCTCGGCCACGGCGGCCGAGTAGAGCGGGTACTGCGGCACGGGGATGAGCACCCCGGTGCGCGTGGCGCCCGCGCCCGACACCAGCAGCTTCAGGATGCCCTGCGGGACGGCGGAGGTGGAGTGGGGGCAGGTAAGGTGGGCGTGGGGACCAGGTGGGTGTGGGGACAGTGTGGGTGTGGGGATGAGATGGGCATGGGGACAGGGTGGGCATGGGGACAGTGTGGGCATGGGGACAAGGCAGGCATGGGGATGAGGTGGGCATGGGGACAGTGTGAGCATGAGGACAGGGTGGGCAGGGGGACTGGGTGGGCAGGGGGACAGGGTGGGCATGGGGACAGTGTGAGGATGGGGACCAGTTGGGCATGGGGATGAGGTGGGCATGGGGATGGGGTGGGCATAGGGACAAGGTGAGCATGGCAACAGTGTGAGCATGAGGACAGGGTGGGCAGGGGGACTGGGTGGGCATGGGGACAGGGTGGGCATGGGGACAGTGTGAGCATGAGGACAGGGTGGGCATGGGGATGAGGTGGCCATAGGGACAAGGTGGACATGGGAACAGGGTGGGCATGGGGACAAGGTGGGCATGGGGACAGTGTGGATGTGGGGACCAGTTGGGAATAGGGATGAGGTGGGCATAGGGACAGTGACAGCATGGGGATCAGGTGGGCATGGGGACCGGGTCATTATAGGGACATGGTGGGCATAGGGACAGTGTGAGCATGAGGACAGTGTGGGCATGGGGACAGGGTGGACAGGCAGACAAGTTGGGCATGGGCTTAAGGTGGGCATGGGGACAGTGTGGGCATGGGGGCCAGTTGGGCGTGGGGATGAGGTGGACATAGGGACAGTGACATTATGGGGACATGGTGGGCATGGGGACAATGTGGGCATAGGGACAAGGTGGGCCTGGGAACAGGGTAGACGTAGGGACAATTTGGACATAGGAATCGGGCGGGCATGTGGACAAGGTGGGCATGGGAACCGGTTGGGCATGAGGATGGGGTGTGCAAGGGGATAGTGTGGACATGGGGACAAGGTGGACATGGGGACAATGTGGGCAGGGACACAGGGAGAGCATGGGGACAGGGATGGCAGGGGCATGGGCACAATGTGGGCATGGGGACGGCATGGGCAGGGGACAGCGTGGGCACAGGGATTACGTGGGCAGGGGACAGCGTGGGCCCAGCAATGACATGGGTCTAGGGACAGCAGGGGCATAAGGATGGCCTGGGCACAGGGACAAGGGGGGCATGGGGACAGAATAGAGAGTGGGTGGGCATGGGGACACTGCAAGCACAGAGACAGGGTGGCACAGGGGTAGGGTGGGCATGGGGATGGGGACAGTGTGGGCTTGGTGGCTGGTGAATGGGGACAGCGTGGGGACAGTGTGGGCATGGGGACAAGGAGGGGGCTGTGGACAGGATGGGCATGGGGACAGGCATGGCATGGGCACAGGGACAGGGCGGGCATGGGGACAGCGTGGGCATGGGGATGGGACGGGCATGGGGACGGGATGGTCATGGGGACAGGGGGGGCATGGGGACGGAGCGGGCACAGCAGTGGCACAGGGACAAGCCGGGCACGAGGACATCATGGGTATGGGGGTGGGGTGGACACAGCCGTGGCACAGGGACAAACCGGGCACGGTGACAAGCCAAGCAGGGGGCCAGGATGGGCACAGCGGTGGCACAGGGACAAGCCGGGCATGGGGACAAGCCGAGCGGGGGGGGGGACAATCCGGGCACGGGGACAGCGCTGGCATGAGGACGGGGTGGGCACAGCGGTGGCACAGGGACAAGCTGGACATGGGGACAGCGGGGATGGGGTGGGCACAGAGGTGGCACAGGGACAATCTAGGCACAGGGACGGGGTGGGCACAGTGGTGGCACAGGGACAAGCCAGGCACAGGGACAAGCCAAGCAGGGGGACAGGGTGGGCACAGCGGCAGCACGGGGACGAGCTGGGCACGGAGACAGAGCTGGCATGGGGACAGGGTGGGCACAGCGGCGGCGCAGGGACGAGCCGGGCACAGGGACAAGCCAAGCAGGGGGACAGGGTGGGCACAGCGGCAGCACAGGGACGAGCTGGGCACGGGGACAGCGCTGGCATGGGGACGGGGTGGGCACAGCGGTGGCACGGGGACAGCGCTGGCATGGGGACGGGGTGGGCACAGCGGTGGCATGGGGACAATCCGGGCACGGGGACAGCGCTGGCAGGGCCCCCGGAGGCGGCCGTGGGAACTGGCAGCCGGGGGGACCCCTCGGGGCCGGGGCGGGGGGGACCCGGCGGGGGCGGCCGCCCCGTCGCGGGGCCGGTGCCAGGCTGGGCACAAAGGCCCTTTGTGGCCGCGGCGCCGGGACGGGCAGCGGGGCCACGGGCTTGGGGACAGCGTGGGGACAGCGCGCGCTACCACGATGGCGTCGCTGGCGCCCGTGGACAGGAAGACGTCGTCGTGGCGCGCGGGGACCCCGTCGCGCCGCTCCAGGAACCGCGCCACGTCCCGCCGCACCAGCTCGATGCCCGGGCTGGCGCTGTAGGCACCTGGGGACACGGGTTGGGGGGGGCAGAGCCGTCCCCCCGCGTGTCCCTCCCCCTCGAGTGTCCCCCCTGCCCCACGGATGTCCCTCGGGGGTGCCGCTCACCGGCGCTGTGGCCGGCGCAGGCGTCGAGCAGGCGGCGCGCGCGGGCCCGGGCGTCCGAGGGCACCCAGGGCTCGTCCAGCAGCTCCGGGCACAGGCACAGGGCGACCACCTGGGGGGTGGCATCGCTCAGCCCGGGCCCCCCACACACACCCCCGCCCGGACGCCTGGGCCCCTTCCCAGCCCGGCGCTACCTGGCGGAGGAAGGTGATGGGTTTCTGCCCCATGGCGTGGGCGTCGCCGATGTTGGCTTTGATCACCTCCGTGAAGGGCTTGGGGACACCCTGGGGACACAAGGGGGGTGATGAGGGGGTGGGGACCCCCCCCCCCGCGAGAGTGGGTGTCCCCCCCCCACCTCCATGGGACCCCTTCGCCCTGGGGACATCTGGGGCGCAGGGACTTGGGGAGCGGGGATGGTGGCCAAGGAAGGGGGGGGGACGGGGACAACGGGGACCTGGGGACCGTGACCCAAGGGGACGAGGGACCCAGGGAGGGCTGGAACGTGGGGACCTTGGGGACAATGGGGACATGCGGGAGGTGGCACCTGGGCACCCAAAGATGGTGACCCCCCCATGCCAGACTCATGGGGAGACTGGGGGGGGCATTGGGGACACTGGGCACCGCGCCCCGGGGATGCCGGGGACACAGGGAGCCTCGGGGACAGCCGGGGCGGGGGGACCCTGGGGACACGGGGACGGCGGGGGGGGCGGGAAGGTCCCCAGGGTGCCCCGGGCGCCGCCGGCTCCCGCCCCGCGCCCGGACTTTGGACGGCACCGCGGCAGCGCCGGACTCTGCCCCGCGCGTGGGCACCGCCCGCGGCACCGGGGCGTTTCCGGGGTGCCCCGCGGGGACCGGGGTCCCCGTGTCCCACGTGGGCACCGCCCGCGGCACCGGGG